ATTTATTATTCTCAAAGAATTGCAATTTTGGACTCAGCATGAGCGCTTTCAATTCCTAAAATTTGGAACGTTTAGGGCGTGAGCACTTTTAATTCCTAAATTTTGAAGGAAAGCAAACGTAGTCCCAAATGTTTTAATCCTTAAGTGCATTTAGTCTTGTTGGCTAATTTTTACTAATTGTTAATGGAATTCGGTCACATGTTGTTATATTCCAGCAATTATTGTTGGCCAAAAAAGAATTTAAAAATTTGAAATTAATATTGTTGATTTGTTGGCCAAAAAAGGACCAATTATTTATGTGCTGATCATGTGAGTTAATTTGAAATATACAAAAGTTCAATTGAAAAAAAAATTTAGGTAAAAAACTAATTATTCACATGACCAGAATATGAATAATTAGTCATATGTTATTATAAATTACAGCTAGCACCTTTATTTTATTTTTTTTTTAATTTTTTTAAAATTTTGTTGGTGCCACATAAATAGATTATGACAGTAATTGGTAAAAATCAATCAATCATTAGAACTAAATGTGGATAAAAACTAAAACATTTAGGACCACATTTGGTTTATCTAAATTTTAGGGACTAAGAGCTCTAATACCCGAACTAAAAATCATTCATTCGGACTAAAAGCTCTTCCTTCAAAAAAAAAAAAAAAAAAAAGGACTAAAAGCTCTACATTTGCTTGACTTGCACTCGTGCCCTTTTTTTCTTATGTTGTTACATCCAACTACAACACCTAGCTTAAGGTGGAACTTTTAATATGGAGAGGAAATTGTCTTCTTGAGAGTTTCATTAAATATAGGGATAATTGCAGAAACCTTTCCTGAGGTTTCTAATATTTGCATTGACCTCCCCTGTGGTTTGAAAAATTATACTAACCTCCCATGAAGTTACTAATCCTTTACAAATTCAGTCCAAATGATTAAAATATTGTTTTAGGGAGTGAATTAGAATTTTTTACCAAATTTTTCATTTGTACTACATGTCCAATGAATAACAAAATATTACAAATTAATTAACAATTAATAAACTTTAAAGAGTATAATTTATAGACAAATACGCATTACCTATTTAAAGTACCGGCTCTTTATGGGTATTTTACTTTCAAATATTTAATTTAATACAAATATATACACTCAAATACATATTTGTATTTACTTTCAAATATTTAATTTTTGTTAAATACAAAAACTACCAACCTCTCTTCTGTAAAAATATTAATATAACACTTTTTCAATTTTAGTTACAAACATTTATGTATTTAACATAAATTAAATGATTCAAAATAAAATACCCATAAAAAGTCAATACTTTACTCATGTAATGGATGAAAGCCATAAAGAATTAATACTTTATGGGTCATTTCTTTTTTAAAAAAAATATTTAATTTATATTAAATAAATAACCTACCGATTTTCTTTTTGCAAGAATATTACTGTAACACTTTTTGAATTTTACTTAAAAATATTAATATATTTATCATAAATTAAATGTTTGAAAGTAAAATATTCGTAAAAAACCGGTACTTTAAATGAGTAGTGCGTGTTTACCTATAAAGAGGCGGTAACTATTTAAAGTACCGGTTCATTAAGGGTATTTTATTTTCAAACATTTAATTTAATATAAATATTTACGCTCAAATGCATATTTATTTTTACTTTCAAATAATTAATTTTTGTTAAATACAAAACCTACCAATCTCTCTTCCGTAAAAATATTAATATAACACTTTTTCAATTTTAGTTACAAATATTTATGTATTTAATATAAATTAAATGATTCAAAATAAAATACGCATAAAGAGCGAATACTTTACTCGTGTAATGGATGAAAGCCATAAAAAATTAATACTTTATGGGCCATTTATTTTTTTTAAAAAAATATTTAATTTATATTAAATAAATAACCTATCGATTTCCTTTTTGCAAGAATATTACTGTAATAATTTTTGAATTTTACTTACAAATGTTGATATATTTATCATAAATTAAATATTTGAAAATAAAATACCCGTAAAAAACCGGTACTTTGTCAGGATCAAACGCTTACCATTGCACCAAAAGCTATAGCTATTAGCGAAGGCGCAACTTTATTTTCTTAACCACAATGGCAACACAAAGCACCGTACCACGTTCGACCAGCATGAGCGGTTGCACCCCTGGTGACACGGGTTGGGCGGTTAGTCCCGTTGAGCCAGAATCTGAAGGATGTTGCTGATTAGGCCAACATACTTTAAATGAATAATGCGTGTTTGCCTATAAATTATGCTCCTTAAAATTTATTAATTGTTAATTGATTTATAGTACTTTGTCATTCATTGGACATGTAGTACAAAGAACAAATTTGGTAAAAAATTTTAATTTCACTCCCTAGAATAATATTTTAATCATTTGGACTGAATTTGTAAAGGATTAGTAACCTCAGGGGAGGTTACTATAATTTTTCAAACCACAAAGGAGGTCAGTGCAAATATCAGAAACCTCAGGGGAGGTTTCTGCAATTATCCCTTAAATATAAGGCTTTTCAATGGAAACATTGAGGAATGTTATGGAACGTTTGGACCACTTTTTTTCTTTTTCCTTTGCGCAAGGGAAAAAGACAAGCGGGATTCAAAAGGTATGGAATCTAAATGGGGCCCGGGGGGGGGGCACCACCGGCGATACGCAGAATTCCCGTACCGACAGTACCAAGTTTCCCCAACACACATTAGCCGCTTAGCCCTGAACCACTACCAATTGGCATCCTAGCAACCCAACTTCCACACAGTGCACACAGAACACGAATGTCTTGTTGGACATTAACCTCAGAAAGCATATAGATCCTAAATTATTTGGACCGTCAGCTTTAGTGCCTTTTGAGTCGTGGAATTCTGAATAATTACACACTCGTGCTGTCGTGCCACCGCCAACCACCATTTTGTGCAATTCCATGACGTTGAGGAATATATTGGCATGTCCCCATTCCACAAGCACAAGAAAAGTCTCAAATCAGATATTGAATCCAAAAAGACACGACCCTGCTTAAAACAAGTTGAAAACAACTACGTTGCTATTTGAATTCGAGAATGCATAAACTTTCCACCAAGAATTGACATGTATGCATGTTTTCGTGATGCAGTCTGCCAACTAAACCCCGAGGTATGAAATTCGAAGACAAGTTATATGGCCTGTCTTAAAACCACACAGCATAAATTGAGGGCAAAAGTAGCTCAAAAAATTGAGAGTAACCACCTAGCATCTACGCTAGTCTTCAAGTTCAATAATCTTCACGACAGATGCATCTCCAACTTTTTGACAAACAACAACTCGGTCATGTGACTTTATGACTCCTGAAGCCTTTCCATGGTCAAGTGCAACCTTCAAAACTGACTCATTGGTAGCATTTGTTGACTCCGCCTGCAGAATGTGTGTAAAGCAAGAATTTACTCAAAGGATCGCAAAAACCTATTGCTTCGAATAATAATAGCCTAACGATATTGATAGCCATAACGGCATGATGAATCACACCTTAGTGGGAGAAATTGTACATTTAAGGCGATTAAGGTCTAGACATGCCCAGCACGGGCAAATACCTAAACCTAAAGTTGGGGTTATTATATGATTGTCAGCAGCATTTCTGGATGCAAACAACAACAGAAACCTAGGATAGATGACTGAAGAACAAGAATAAAAGAATAACTAGAGACTTTCCACAATATTTCAACTATGAGAAAGCCATGGAGTACGCAATGCATCTGACTATAATCACAAGCCAAGTGCTGGTCATAACATCGCTAAACAGCAAATAGCAACCAGGACTCAGTATGGTAAAGAAAAAATGTCCATCAGAAGATCAAAATCAGAAAGGGCAAGCAAAAAGTTAATACTATCAGGAATTAGAAACAATTCTGCACGGAGGTAATGATAAAGGATTAGTTTCAGGAGTTAGAAATACGTTCCAATTTAGTTCACATCTAATCAGACAGGGAAGGAAAAGGTGAAGAAAGCAAAACTCACAGGATGTCGTGGATCAGCGAGCATAGGAAAGAGACCTCGGACAATGAGTGATTGCCTTGCCTAAAATGCAGAAATTGAAAATAACAGAAATTATTCCATCAGCCAGGTAGCCAAGCCACGAAACAACAAGGCAAGGAAAATGACAATTAACTTAAACTGAAAAAATATGTTGTAATGAAGAAGAAGAAAGAGACGAATAAACCCCTAAATGATGAAATCTCTGCCACACTGCCAACCATCAGTTATTAGCGAGTCGGCATTCTTTTAATTTGCTTGACTATTATTTTGATACATAACCATAGTCCCGTTTACAAATGCAAATGAAAGGATCTTGGTTACATAAAGCAGAAGTGCATTGGCTGACCTTTTTTTTCTTGTGTTATATTTTAGACTTCAAATTTTCCCCTAGACTAATATTAACCATGAGTACATAGTAAGAGACATCACACTAAACCAATACCAATATCTACACCATAAAACCTCTCAATTATTTTTTTGTCAACATTTTCAAAGTTGCACATGCATGTGTGTTTTTCCCACTAGTCAATTTGAAATTAAAACCATTTTTAATTTGAAGTGCATTGGCTGACCCTTTTTTTTCTTGTGTTATATTTTAGACTTCAATTTTCCCCTAGACTAATATTAACCATGAGTACATGGTAAGAGACATCACAGTAAAACAATACCAATATCTACACCATAAAACCTCTCAATTATTTTTTTGTCAACATTTTCAAAGTTGCACATGCATGTGTGTTTTTCCCACTAGTCAATTTGAAATTAAAACCATTTTTAATTTGAAGTGCATTGGCTGACCCTTTTTTTCTTGTGTT